GGTATTTTAGTCTAAACCTCAATTTTTTACGTGTTCTTTGCAATTAAAAAGAAGAAACTATCTCACTTTTGTATCGGATTTCATTGCAAGTTTTTCATATAAAAATGTTTAAAATTGTTGAAAATACAGTTGTTTACAGTGGACTTGTAAATGACCCGTTCGTCTAAAACAAACCAAAACCATTCTAAAACCATTCTATTCTATATAAGCGTGACTATGGTTGTTACTAAAATTGTGCAAGAATATTTAAAAATAAAACTTTTGCAACTGGTGTTGACACATCAATTTTTTGCTCTATCTTTCAAACATCGAATTTTGAAAATTTTGGTACAGAAAAATATGGTTTCAAAGTAATAGCGTTTAGGTACTACGAAAGTGCAATTAATTTTTGAAATTGATGCACATTTCAACAAAATCTTTTTATAAGTAGTACCAACAGGATCGATAATATCCAAAAAAAACAATCAACAAATGAAATCACGAGAATTTTCGGTAACCGGTCACCAAACGTGTTAAAACAATCGCCACGTATGCTCGATGCATCGAAATAGATCGTTCGAGATCGCCCAACGCTGGTGGACATTTTGTTAGCCTGCATAGGGGTTGTTGAGCCACGAAAATCGTACGAACCCAAACCCGATACACGCATCGCGGCGATTCCTTAGCAGTTTCGAGTACGCAGAGACGTTTACGAACGAAGTGGGCCAAACGTATCTCAAGGAAGAACTTTGTTTCGCTGAAAGAAAAGATCCTCTTCTTCGCGGAGCGCGACAAAGACGCTCCGGTCCCATTGTTCAGGGTCGATCGCGCTGCACTCCGATTCGACGGTCTGGTGTATGTACGTTCATGTACAAACAGGGTGATAATGTATTCAAGGTCCGCCCCGTGGCCGATGGTGGGGGTGAAACGGGGCGGCCCGCTCGCTGTACGTACTGTAACAGATGTTAATTATCCCTTCTGTGTATAGTCGGCAAAAAAAGAGCCCGGTCCCGGCTCGGACATATCGTCCACTCGTATACATCCCCGTCGAGGAGGCCTCTTGTGTCCTCGCTTCGAAGGAGTCACGTGGCCCGCCTAGCGTGCACGCTCCAATCGCGTTCAACTTCCGCCGAGCCCACTAGGGAAATTCGCAGGGAGCTCCCGCTCGAGTCCTGTCGACTTGTCAACGCTGCCAGCGCGTGTGCACCGGCCCCCTAGACCACCCTAGTTTCCTTCTAATCGATGATCCCGAAACGCCAGCTTCGCCGTCGATGGATCCCCCGTTTCTTCGTCGTCCTTCGGAATCTTACAGTTTTATACCAGACCGGTCGTACAGACGGTCAATTACGAGCTTTCTGCGTCTTCCGCGACCTAAAGTGAGAGTTAAGTACTCCGTTACGCTTGTTTTCTTTGCTCCGAACGAAGATGAAGGATACAACACTGAACAAATTAACCAGTTGCGTATTTCGCGTTATGGGTAGAAAAATAGGTCCCAAAGTTACTTCGTGGTTCTCTCGACATCCGGCCGATAGAGCGCTATTATTTTAAAGGAATTCGAGCTGTCACTTCGCGGACCTAGAACGGAAGACATTCCCGGTGCACGGGCAACTGGATGGAATTTCGTGGCGACGTCGGGGTAAAATGATTTCTTGTCGCGCGAGTGAACCGGTGCGACGCCATATTCGTCGAGGACCCTTAACGGGCCAGTTTTAGTGCGGAAATAAATAACCGATAATGAACCGGACAAAAACGGAACTAACGATTTTGAGGCCGAATTAGGCAGCGTGTTTCGGATGCCGCGGACGGAGTCATCCAAATCGATTGAGGGAGAGCTGACTGGCCCGACGCGATGACTGGGGCAATCAGCAGGCAGAAATAAATGACTGGTGATGAGCCGTGGAAGGAAAGAAACGATGCTTTCAGGGCTAACTAGATTCTTACGGTATGCCTGATGCTGTTAATGTATCGACGAGCAAACTGGCGCAATCTTTGGGGCGTACGAGCTGGTAATATTCGCCTTCATTCTTTTACCCTTTGCGGGTCCTCTGTCGAGCTATACCCCAAGTCGTATTTCGTTCCAACTCGACATAGAATTTTATACATTTTTCTTTTTTTGCTCTCTATTTAACATCGCGTCGACATCGAGATCGTTAGCGACGAGTTTATGTTTTGGGACGTTATATTTTTGGGTGGACGTTAGTTTCTTTGACACCTTCACTGCCACGTCAACTATATGTGACAGAATTTATCATTGTTATTGCTAGGTTATTGCTCTATTTTCTCTTGTTAGTGGTATAAAATTCTGAAGATGAGATACTTCCTTTAACGAGGAATATTGTTGTTGTCTACGACTAAATAGTAATTTAACGCTTTGACAGAAGTTACCATTATGGAACTAGAAAAATTGATTCTCAAATTGAGATGTTGAGGGAAATAAATTAGGATAGAATAAGTACTGAAACAAATTTTAGGTTCTGTAGTTTACGATCGAAACAAATGGCAGCTTTTCGAGATTATTATTGAGAATTTATTGATTTGTCGTTCCTTTTTGATCGAATATAGGAGAAATATGTTCAAAGTTTATGTAAACATCAAGAAATCGAAAATTTGCAATGACTCGTACATTTATTACTAGATTTGCGTGAAACTTGGACCAAACGATGCAGGTTCTTTTTATATGCATACATTGTAACTAAACAGTAGCCAAAAATAGAAATGCATCCTTCTTCCTGCAAGATTTTCAATTGCTGTTTAATTTACACTAGTAGTTCAAGTAAAGACAACGTTTAGATAAAATATTCGGTATAATTATTGGACATTCACGATACAGAAACGATAAAGAGTGCAAGAATAACAACAAAGTGTCCCAAATTTTCATGACCAAACCTCGTCGGTATACTCTACAGGTCTAAATAAGAAAAAATGTACAAATACAGAACGTTTTAAGCTTTATAACAGAAATACGAAATGCAAAGGGAACGATGCACAATAGGAATAAACAACTAATGTTTACATTTAGTCTGTTTATGCAAATTGTGTTTAAATGGCCCAATTATTTACGAATCGAGAGTATGGATATACGCACCTCGTTTGTGGCTTTTGAATGCTGTTACGAGGGAATATCAACTGCATAGGGGTGGTTGGTCTCGCTGATCAAAAGTGCAGTGACCAAAAGTAAATTCGTGCAACGAATTCATACAACTTAACTATTCGTTCGGTCAAACGAAATGAAATACAAATGAAATTTCTGGAGCAACTATTTTCGATTGTTAATCTTATACTGTCAAAAACGATGGATATTTTAACATGGAGTTTTATGATAGTATAATGCTACTTTAGAAACTCACATAAACAGACCAATTGTAAATAGACTTATGTTTATCCAACATTTTCGTGTTATTTAGACCTTAATAAAACATTTGAAAAAATACCAACTAACTTCACATTACAAGCAATACTAAAATTGTTTCGCGTATATTAAATAAAATATAAATTGGCGCAGCGTAAAAACAGAAAGGGATAGACCGAAATATTAAAAATATCTCGGATCGCGAAGGGTGAACAGTCATTAAGATGTGCGTTACCGATACTGGAATGTTTACTACTTCTAGTTCCATCCTGTGCGTAGTTCGGGTGAGAAATAAAAGGAAACGCATTATTTCAATTTACTATAGTTGGAGATGAAGATAGACAGGGTTGAAATGCAGCCAAGAGTATCGTAGCGTGGGACGTAAACAGTTGGTATCCTTTATCGAAACTCTTGTTTTCCAAAGTAATTTCTCAGGTATATGTTCTCGTTCGGTCCGCGTTCCCCTGTGAATCCTTTTCACCGGCCGATGGCCGACTTCCTCCGGCGTCCCGAGGAGCGCCGCGACGCCTAGGAACGAAGGCGATTCGCTAACCGAGAAACGAATTGTCCCTCGTTTCGCCTTATCGCGGGACCGTCTACTCGGCTGACCGAGCAGCGCTCGTATATCAGAGTAGCTTTTGTTACTGCGACGTGCCTTTGTTTTCGCCTTGTTCTCGCGTCTCGTTCCAGCGGTGCAAACGTAGACGGTTCGTTCGGCAGCGTGACGGGACCGTCTGGGGGTTTCGCTGAACTTGCTGTAACCCACTTTTGCACTGACACAGAAATAGATAACCCGGGAATATTCTTTCCCCGTTCCGGTGCTCGCATCAGCTGTTCGAGGAACCGCGATTTTTACCGGACGACGCGAATCGAACGCGAATTGGCCGAAGCGGGACCAAAAATAGGGGTAGTTGGAGCCGTTGGGAGCTTTCGAGAGTCTCTGTTCTTCGCCTTGGATCATCGTTGAGATTAGAAAAAAGAATCGGGATGCTTCGATACGATTATTATCTTGCTATCGAAGAGCCAGAAAGTTGTAACAATCATTTAAGAATAAACGAAACTTGGCTCGACTTTCCAGTGCAGAGGGTCGCTCGTTCAAAGAGGAATTTACATTTCTTCATTATATTATATGACTTCACAATTTCGTGTTTAAAAAAGTTCCCCAAAAAATATTTGATATCCTCTTCGGTAGCGAAGGTTTTACCATTCACCACATATGGGTGACAAGGTTTTTCACTAAGGAGCTAAAAAAATTAATTCTCAAGATTAAATAATAAAGAAAATAAATCTAAATATGACTCTTGAATTTTAACGTGACTGTGAGAATAAGTTTTATGACAAATTATGGGTATGCTAGTTTCCAATTGTCTAAAAACAGAGTTTCGTTTTCGTGGACAATTTGAGGGGGTTGGTCTTCCAATTTAACGAATTCTTACCGTGTGACTTTGCAAGCGTATTTGCTAAAATGCAAAGAAAAAGAATCGATTTTCCCCTGAAAAAGGAAGACCCCTGAAGTCAAGGTCGGACAGTTTAGAGTCACGCGGAACATAATCACGTGGCAGAGAGTCACGCGCAAGTCAGAACATTCCATGATAAGTTTCAATTACCGATAGCAATAAACGTAGCGTGCGTTCGACCGACTGTAACATTAGCTGTTCCATTCTTGTTGCAGGATGCATTGAAGAGCAGGCCGTTTGTGGAAATACGAGATGTCCACCGCAACCAGCCCGTATGGCCCCAGTAAGACACTTCCTTTATTAACGCATCACCGAAACGACCCCACGCTATTTCCTAGAGGATCGAAGGTAGTCACCTTGCGTCGCGTCCATTTTGTCGATACGTAATTACCGTACTCGGACGATTTCTAGAACGTTCAATTAACGCGGCGGCTGGGCTGAATTCTAATTAATGTTAACATTTGATTTGCGGGGAAGCCAGCGGCCTTCGCGTTGCGCAACAGTCGATTCGAGGCAATGGTAAATCTGACTGGTCTTCCAAATTCGATCAAATGAACAAGCTTGATAGGGGTACGAGAGTACAACTATTCTACCTATTGGTCTAACTTCCTACGAGGGTCGTTCCATAAGTCCTCAGAAGATCCAAGACCTGGCGTTCGTAGCATCGAGAATGGTTTGCATTTAGTAAGCATCGTGACTCACTAGACAACTGTCAAAGTGTCAGTTATATCCACCACATGGTTGCATTTTTATTGTCGATCGAAGCAAGGAACTTCCTCTTGCTCGAGACAATGCACGGGTGGCACACCTGTGCAGTTTCGATGGCCAAAATCATGGAATTAAAGTTCGAATTATTACAACATCCACCGACTTTTTTTTATTTCCAAACTTGAAAGAATGACTCAAGTAGATGCCTATCTTGAGCACCTTACGAAATCTTGCCTTTTAGATGGCTTAAAAAAGTTGGAGAAACACTTGGAAAAGTCTATAGAGCTAAAAGGAGATTATGTTGAGAAATAAAAAAAAAAATCTAGCTAAAATAATTTGTTTTTCTATCTTTTTCTAAGAACTTATTGAACGACCCTCCTATTAGACCAGCTAAACGAGTCTCGAATGAGTTAACCTGACCCCGTAATAGCCCAGTAGTGATTAGGCTAGGTTTACTTGGATCGTTAACGTCTGTTCCTTCCGATCAGCGGAGATGCTTTCCGACTCGGTGTACTACGCGACTCCCCGGCGGGGAACCGCCGACCAGGACAGCGACTCCCAATACGAGACCCAGGCCCAGCTGCAGATCACGAGCATCCAAAAGCCGCGTAACAAGCGGAAGAACTTCAAGCCCATAAGCAGCCGTATGGTGGAGGTGTCGGATGAGTCTGAAAAGGAGGACGAGGAACTGGAGGCCATGGAAGAGAGCTCTAGCGAGATACTCGAGTACGAGAGGAAGACGATGCTGCTGCCCGCCGACGACAGGTTCAAGCAGAGGTTGAACAACAACGAGGTCAGCCCCATGGATCTGTCCGTTACCACCAGGCCGCCTTCGTCCGAGGCTGACGACGACAGCGGAGACTCCCTCAGGCACAAGTTCATCCTAGAGCAGCTGAGGTCGCAGAAACTCTACTCCACTGGTACCGAGGTACGTGCAGCGAGTCAATTTTAAACGAGTTACAAACGGAGAAAAACGTAAAACATATTCCGAAATCTTAGTAAAACCCCGGAGCAAGTGTTTCCTTCGTATCTCGAGAAATAAGGATTTGTACTGTGCGTCTGATTGGTCCCCCACTCTAGAGTTTAGCGAGTCCACGGTGCTGTGACCCCCAAACACATGTTTTATCTGTAGCATCAGTTTTTGCAGCAGACAGAGAAAGTTATTATATCGAACGACAGTAATAAATAACTTCCATCAGCCTCTATCGAGAAGTTTATGTAATTAAGACAGTATTAACACGGGTAAAGGAAGAAACATTATACCTTGGCAGCGAAGGCAGGTGCAATTATTGCAGAACAGTAGGAAATCATGTCGCCATGTTTCTTTGAAACCTGGATTACCCAGAGTTGCTGATTTCCAAACAGTAAAGTTTTGATAATCTTGAAAACTTGAAGCCATTTCAAAGCTAGGAATCTTCTTAAATGTTCTTCGATAGTCCTGCGCGGTTAAATTGTTCGTTGGTTCGCGGATTCACGCGGATCGTTGCGATGACTGTCCAGGCCAGGAGTCCAAACTCAGACTCGTCGGAGAAGAGCGACAGCGGTGTCCTGGATACAGAGTCCGGGCGTCTGGACGACACACCCTTCGAGGACGATCGGGCACAGGACGGTGACGGTGAGGTCGACTGCGAAGAAAGGAAACCCGTGGAGGGTATGAGGGAGTACATGGAGTCGACCATGGAAGAACTCTTGGCGATCTACGGGCTGGCGGAAGGAGAATTGGCCAAGTCGGTCAGTCGACAGCTACCGCCGACCTTCTTGAACCCTGCGACCGGTCAACATCATCACGGTGAGTCCCTCTTATATCGGTACTTGTTAATCTTTCCTCGAAAAGACTGATTAGACTAACTAAGCCTCTTTCGTCGTTCGAACTTTTTACTAATACACAATATCTAAGTAAATTATGCAATCTTGTACCAATCGAAGTCTCCAGTTTTCGAACTAAAGTGTTACGTGACTACAGGAAAATTATCATAAATATTCTTACGTGAATCATCATGTGAATTCATATTTTAATGTGAGTTTCATGTTACCTCTTCTTATTAGAATTCCGTCAACTTTTATGCAAATGACCGAGTCTTATACGTTAATTTAGCAAAAGAAACAACAAATACTATATGTCTAAGTATAATATTCACAGCTTTTGTAGGACGTGCTCTTCCTGTTGTTGCTTTAAAGAAAACATAATAAGAATAAAAGGTTGCTAATGGAGGTCTGATCAGTAACGGGTACACTTACCTTATAAGACCTGATCTACTTTAGTCTTCGCGATATAGCGAGGTAGTAAATATCTTCGGACATCTAAACATCGATTTCATATATCTTGAGCAAAATTATAAACCCACAGTTATTTTCAAGAATTTTTTCATATAATACAAAAATACTAAATTACAAACTTCGACACATTTTCGAGGTGTGTTTGTTCGCATATTCTTCCAATTAATTTACATAATATCACGTGGTAAATGCCATACTGAAATGGAGCAAGGTACCATTCTATCCTATAACGAAGAAAAAATGGGAATTCAGTTATTTTCAGGTGTTTTTTCATGTAACACAAAAATGCTAAATTACAAACTTCGACACATTTTTGAGGTGTTTGTTCCGTATATTCTTCCAATTAATTTACATAATATCACGTGGTAAATACCATACTGAAATGGAGCAAGGTACCATTCTATCCTATAACGAAGAAAAAATGGGAATTCAGTCGTACTGAAACTTACATCGAATTTTTCATCCAATCCGTCAAAGTATGAACGAAGTAAAAAAGATTGTCGAGAAATTGCACAACAATGTGGACATGTGAATTAATTTGGACACAAAAATATATTCTGTTGTTCGACCAAACGAAATATAACGTGTCACGGTGAACGGTTGGATGCGTATTCGAACGCTATAGCAGATTCTTGAATCCTGATCAGTTCTTAAAACGTTGATCTGGCTTCTGGCCTAGATCCATCGGGTCATAGTGTCGATTCTAAATAACCAAAACATGATCCAATTTCTGATCTAGATTCCCCGCTAATCGCCCGAACCGGGCAGAGAGTAATTAGAGCCGTCGGGACTAACAGTCGTTAATAGCCAACCAGATCGTCGGTTCGCGCGTAATAGTGCCCAGAACTTGGTCCTCGGTCCGAGCAGGGGCCAGGATCTGACGCGTGGGCGTTTCTCTCGAGACGGAAACGAAGAAACAATCCCCGATTTTTGGTGGATCCGGCGGAGGCGCTGGAGCAGCGAAGTCAGGTTCCTCGAACAGTTAATATTCGCGGCAGGACTCGGTTGATTCTTCGTTGAAGAGAAATTAGAGGCGCTCGGTATTCGACAAAATCGTTAGCGGAGCCAACAATGGGACGCGGGACGATTGGTTGGCATTGAATTCGGGGCTGGACTAGAGGCAATTGACAACTGTAACTGGCTGGCATTCGTAATTGCGCTTGGCGTAAAATCAACTTCGAGCCCCGTGCTGCTGACCTCAGGTTTTAGTGCCGCCTTATCGGCGGTTGGAAAATGACGGGAAATAAATGGGAAATTAACCGAATCGCCTCGCTCGATCAACTCGGTCATGGATTCATTGTTTCCGTTATCGCGACGATTGGTTTTCTGCAGCCGCGTCGATGGTCGTTCGTAAACATCCTTACGGTGGGGCTTGGAAACTGCTATAACGAGGGTTTAAGTTCTCGAAACCCAGTTACGAGGAACTTCCATTTCAGGCCATATCGGTTTAGATATTATTCTTTTTATTATCAAGCACCTGAGACCATAAGCGCAACGAAGTTCTTAAATTTGTAATTTACATTCTTCGAGGAAGGGGAAAATAATTTTACAATGCTCGTTGGCAATTGGCGAGAGTTGATTAATTGAACTCTTTGCGTGAGGTACATTGCCAAAATCGTTACCACATTTACATTTAGGATCTTTAACCATATATTGCATGTATTCAAGGAGATACCAAACGTGAGTTCTCAGACAAATTTCAAGTTACGTAATTTTCGATCTCCTGAAATCAAAGTTTTGGTCTCAGAAAATTTTACGGTTTTTTGCCTCGGCGGTGGACGCGTTAATTGATTTATACGACTGCGATGACCGCCGCGCGTGGTTTTTCGACCGCCAGGGTTAATACAATGGTGTATTTACGGTTCGAACGTTCGACGGTGGGGAAAAAAAGAGGACGCTCGTGGACCACCCTGGTAATTGGCATAACCGTTCGAAGCGATTCGAATCGATGGAGGCTCGAGAGGACGAGGACTCGCCGCCGCCGCTGTGGGAACGTAATTTTTAGATTAGACTGTACGCGTGCACCAGAACAGAATGTGGCACTTACATATTGCCAGTGCATCGCATATGCGCGCACGTGAATATGCGATGGCTCTCGCAAGATGGCCGACTTATAACTCATAAAGTCGGTCGGGACTGCGCGAACCGTTGACTGCCTCGCGATCGATGGATGCCTTCGAGATCAGCCAGCGTCATCGTTTCCCGTTGTCGAGTGTCTCGCGTGGGTTGACACTCTCACGAATTCCACACGGTGCGCGGCGGTGTGAGCGTGTATTGTACGCCTTACCTCGGGACGCGCGCGACTAACGAGTCAATTTCACTATTCGTCGTTCCCCTCTGGCCCCCCCAAGATACTCGCCGTCGAGTTTTTGAATTGCCTTCTGCCAGGCTTGATGGATTCATAGCCGAAGTTGTTGCCGGATTAACGTCCTCCTAGCGAATTAGGCTCGTCTTCCATCGAAGAGCTTGCCGGTTAGGCCATTTTCGGTGGTCACGATTTCTTCGTGAAATTGCCTCACCGAGCTTCGAGAGCTTCGTCTTTATAGTTTTTTAGTTTGTGTTATAATTGCTATTACTAGGTTATTACTCTATTCCGAAGGTGAGATACTTCCTTTAACGTGAAATATTCTTGTTGTCTAAACTATATAGTAATTAGATGATAGTTTAACACTTTGATAACACTATGGGGCTAGCAAAATTAATTTTCAAGTTGAGATGTAGTGGGAAATAAATTTGAATAGAATTTTTGTGAATTTTAATAAGGCTAGAAAAATAAATATTGAAATAAATTTTAAATTATGTAGTTTACAATTTTTTAGTCTTGTAGAGTATTGTATTGTATAATATTGACAGATGGGACTAACAAAATTAATTTGTCTGAAATTAAAGTTTTAGTCTTGCAGAGTATTGTAAAGTTAGTATAACATGATAAAATTGGTTTATTTTGGAATGTAGAAGCACTGTTTGGCGACGAAGATTATTTACTTCTTGATTTAATTACACGGTGTCCGATAAAGCGGATGCTGTTATTTATATCCTTCCTGCCGCGATTAAATTATCGAGAAAACTGTTGCATATTTACGTTACGATATTGCAGAACAGCTGGAAAAATATATACATATGCGTGTATAGAGTAATTGGAAATTACTCGTCCGCTGTGCGTAGTAACATAATTCCGACGATTCATCTTTCAGTTGTCAAACAGCCCATATAGGTTGCGAGAAATGGTGCAACAAGTCGTATATACCGAGTTTCTGTGCGACCTGCGTATACCCAGTGTCGTAAGATAAATCGTATGAAAAATCGTAAACACGACCCCTATTACAGTCTGTTGCAACGTGCATCTGGGTTATTTTATACAATTTTTTAGAATGTTTCGAACTCAGGCTCTAAAATATTGGTTCTTTAAAGAAGTATACGATAATAATATAAAAAATATTAAAAATTAGACATTTGGTAACACTTTAAGTTCAAAGACTCCATTTTCTGAATTTTCTTTTGGAACATCAGACGATAGGCATACATAATAATATGCTGAAAATTCCCTTGAAATCTGTTACCAATCGATCCACTAGAACTTGAGGTATCATAGTAACCATTTCGAGAAACATGGTTTCGCGAAAATCGCGTTTGGAGTTTTCCATTACTGTGCAAACATTCTTTCAAGGTTCTGGAATACCCCCTCAACTGTGACTGTTTTCTCCATATGGAAAAAATTCCCCATCCTTGTTTCACACCATATTTTATAATTTTAACAATATACAGAATATAAACAGGTGATAATAAACAAATTATGCTAGCAATAATTCCTATTTAAAGTGACAGTGACTGTCTTTGAGATTTGATAGTAAATCTCATTCTCGTTAGTTTGATCTATTTAATTTTCTCATTCCCCTCTGTGTTCTCTTCGACAACGTTGACCTATCGTCGCGATGCATTGCGTAAACTTCTTGGGCCGTTTGCGCGGTTTTCCATGCCGGAGGAACACAATGCATACTGCGAGCGTGGATTCCGAAGAAAAGCCGACGGAAAAGAGTGTCGGTTACCGGATTCAACCACGCGTCGTCGAATTCCCTGTATGTGACTCATCGTACCAAGCTCCCTCGCTCACTCAATATTCATGCATTATGTAAGTTAACCTTACGTCGATGTAAAAGGACCCTAGCGGGCTTTCGTGGCACCGGTCCATTGTTACTCGATTGAGTCTTTCGGCGTTGTACTACACTTTGTCAAACGGTCTTTGTCGCGTCCGGCCGGAGAGTAATCTCTTTCGGATTCGATTAAACTCATACTGGCAACGACTCGGCGCACGGTTGCCAGCCGCCATCCTGCCAATTACCAGAAAACTGACCGCGTGAAATTGAATGCGACACGCCTCGTAGCGCGCTCGATCCTCTTTCTTCCTTCGTTTTCGTCAGGAATCTGGAATCGCGCTGACACGCGTTCGTCCTTTTGTCGCGAGATGATCTTGGACTTGGCGGGTTGCCTTGGCACGGACATGGGAAAAACGAG